GGAAAGAAAGAAAGAAAGAAAAGAAAGAAGGAAAGAAAGAAAAGAAAGGAAGAAAGGAAGAAAGGAAGAGAAGTAAAAATGTACATTTAATAAACATATTCTCTTTTTAAAAAAATTTTTTATTGGAGTGTGTTTGACTTGCAATGTTTCAGGTGTGCAGCAAAATGATTCAGGTATACATGTACATACATAGTTATATTTTCTTTTCAGATTCTTTTCCATTATATGTTATTACAAGAAATTGAATATAGTTCCCTGTGCTATGCAGTAGGTCCTTGTTTTTGTGTACTCTCTCTCACGCACACACACACACGATGATGTCTATATAACCAAAACTAAACTGTTGTAAATAATTCATAGAAACAGGATGGGGACATTTGCTCTATCACAGAACAGTGGTAATACACACACACACACACACACACAGGTACACAACATAAAATAAATTAGGGATCACAAACAGAATATTGGTTTTCTTAGGATCAAATTTCAGCTTGTCTGCTTTTACAATAAAGAACTGGGAATACAAATTTTCATTTCACCAATATAAGCAAATAAAATTTCCAGCAGTGAAATTCTTGATCCCTTTGTGATCATTCGAGAGAGGAAGATGAGTGCAAGGGTGTGGGGTAAAAGGTGAAAACAAGACCTTATATTTATAAACAGGAAGAATTTAGCTGACGCTGCCCTGTTGTCACTGCTCTTACTGTCATGTGGATTTCTCGATGATCTTCGTCCTTATCTTTCCTTAGTTTACAGATGGGGACCTTGTCACCTGCGTGTTGGGATCTTGGCTGCAGAAGCCGCTGTTAGCATTCATTGAGCATTTACTATGTGCCAGGGATTTTGCTCAGCGCTTTACGTGAAGCGCCCTGTGAGTGCATGCTAGTGATATCCTCATTTTATAGATGAGGAACTGAGAGTCAAGTTTAAAATTCGCCAAAACTCACATAGCTATAAAGTGGCCTAAGTTCACACACAGGCCTTCTGACACCAGCTTAACTACTGAGGATGAAATTTTGTAATCAGAGCCTACATTTTTCTTAACTGCTCTTCAGTGGTGAAGTTCTTTTTAAAATGTCCTATATTCATCTAATTTGAAAAGATACATGCACCCCAGTGTTCACAGCAGCACAATTTATAATAGCCAAGATATGGAAACAATGTAAATGTTCATCAACAGATGACTGGATAAAGAAGTTGTGGTGTATATACATATACATACACACACACACACACACACACACACACACACACAATGAATACTACTCAGCCATAAAAAAGAACAAAAATAATGCCATTTGCTACAACATGAATGGACCTGGAGATTGTCATTCTAAGTGAAGTGGGCCAGAAAGAGGAAGAGAAATACCATATGAGATCGCTCTTATGTGTCATCTTAAAAAAAGACACAAATGAACTTATTTACAAAACAGAAACAGACTCACAGACAGAACAAACTCATGGTTACCAGATGGGGGAGAGCTGGGAAGGGATAAACTGGAAGTTCAAGATTTGCAGATACTATTATATATAAAATCAATAAATGACAAGTTTATACTGTATAACACCAGGAACTATATTCAATATCTCATAGTAACCTATAATGAAAAAGAATATGAAAATGAATATATGTACGTATATGCATGACTGCACACCAGAAAATGCTGCACACCAGAAAATGACACAACATTGTAAACTGACTATACTTCAATAATTAAGATGTTCTATATTCCATAAAGATGTTATTCCTACGAGTTTAGTGGCAGTATATAAACAATCTTGAGGTTACCTGACTGGCAGTGGAAAGAAAGAAAGGGAGTGAGGGAGGGAGGGAGGAAGGAAGGAGAAAGTGAAGCACAAGTGTCTTGGGAAACAAAGCTAGCAACTTCATACATCACAAGTATGATACTTTTGAATGTTATTTCAAAACATTAAAAATAAAAACTTACACAGTCTGCAGCGTTAACTTCGGCACCAGCATTAAGCAGCATTCGTACAAGAACCTCATTCTGCTTCGTCTTTGACACCTGTTCCAACCAGCAAGCACAAGCACAGGAGAGGTTTATTTACAAACACTGTCTCCACCTATGCCTGGACTATTCTAATCAGTGGGCTTCCTTTTCATCCCAACACCCCTATGCGTCTGTGCATCTTTCTTAAACTCTGCCCCATGTCCTCACCACCCTGAAGTATCGATTAGATGAAGCCATGGTTGTCAGAATGTGGACCTGGGGTAGCAGCGTCAGCACCTGGGAACTTAGAAACGCGAAACCTGGGCCCCACCCTAGACCCGTCAAATTCTACTGAGGATGGGGTCCAGTGACCTGTTTTTCCCTCTATAACATCCCATTGCTCCGGGGGCAAAAGGAAAGTCTTCAGCCTGGCCAACAAGGCCCCACGTATTTCAGCCTCCACTTGCAGCCCCACCCCCAGCTCAACGTGCTCCAGCCACACTGGCCTTTGTTAGTCTTTCATTCCCACCAGCCTCCCTCCTGCCATAGAAGAGTTAAATTGAATGTTTCTTCTCTCTAGAAGCCTCTTTTCTCTCTTCTCTGCCTGGTAAATTCATCTTTAATAGCTCAGTCAAAGCCCCTCTTCCTCCAGGAAGCATTCCCGATCTACCCGGCCAGGGCTCTCCCAACCCTGAGCACCTCTCTATACCACCTACCTCGTGTTAATTTCACATGTGTTTCTGTCATTTGATTAATGACTCATTTTCACCACCCTCTAAGTCTCATGAGGGCATGGACTACACCTGTTTTTTTCATCATTGTATCCCTAACATAGTGTATGGCACATAGTAGGTCTAAAATAAGTATGTGTTGAATGATTGAACAAGTGAGTGGAATTAACTAGGCTCCTCAGAAGTCCATTTTTCCTGCCTCATCCCTGAGATTCTGACCATAGGACACTTGAGCTTCCCCTCCACCACCCCATTGTTGAGGGAGCACAGCTCTCCCTGCTCAGGTGGGCATGTCCTGGGGTTCAGCCCCTTTACCATTTAGGAAGCTCCACTCAGTTGTCTTCTCTCTTTGTGTTCCCTCCTGTGACAACGTCTAGACCTCCTTTCTCCCTATCCTCCTCTGATATAACACAGTCCTTTCTGGTCCCTTCCCTCTCACGTCACTTATCCCTTGCGTGTCACAAACTGACAATTTCAGGCCCCATGAATAAATAGGATACATGTGCAATCAGAGTTGAGTTACCCATTACAATGAGCATTTTTGCCTAGGTCTTGAGATTTAAACACTGGACTTAGAGAGCAAGGCTGTGTGTCAACAAATTCTGAATCAGCTTTGCTAATCACAGTTGTAATTTTCTTCTTCATAATCTCTAAAAAGGTTTGGAAATGAACAACAGAACTCCCTACCCCAAAACCACAAATATTCAAATGCTCTGTACTAAAACAAGAGTATTTAAAGAACTTTTTCAAGAGTATAAACAGATTATGTGTTTATCAATAAATTATAATTTTTCTCTCCTAAATCCAAGCATCAATGTTATCATACTTAATTATCGTTCTTCAGCATCTATAACATTTAATCACCCGAGGAGGTAATAACATTACTTACTGGCAGACTGTTCTGAAGCTTACATGAACAGGCATAACTAACACCCACGACCTATTAGCACCAGCGAGAAGGGTCATTTAACTGGAGGAAATTACACATCTGCTGAGTCATCTCTCAGAGGCGGAACTGACCACGAGAGGAACCAGATGAGAAAAAGGGAATAAGTCAGCGCAAACCTGTCACTCTATTCGAAAAAACAAAAACAACTTAAGCTTCGTCTTCTACTAATATGACTAATATGCATTCCTATACCAATGATATCTTTCTGTATGTAAGCAAATGACTGCATGTCAAAGATTCCTTTAAGCATGAATGAATCTACCCAGGTGAAAGGTGGGCTTCAAATTCTCTGCAAAGATCTCCCATGTTTGCCAGCTTCTGGATGCAAAGTTCCTGAGAACTGTTTTTTTCACTCACACCAGGGTGGGTCCTTAAAAATCAGAAACTTAGAAAGATATGTACAAAACTTAGAGTCTTTTTACAAAAAAAAAGGAAGAGAGAGAGAGAGAGAAAAGAAACAGTAGGAAAGGGATTTTTTAAAATTATTTTATTTTATTTTATTTTAATGGACGTACTGGGGATTGAACCCAGGACTTTGTGCATGCTAAGCCCGCACTCTACCACTGAGCCATCACCATCCCTGATTTTTTAAGAATATTTTTTTAATATTCAGGATTTTTGCTTTTCCTTCAGATGATTCTTAATGTAGGTTAATTTATTTTTCTAAATAAAACGTTGTACAGATTACTTTACCGCTGATTAATTTACCTTTCTTCTTTACTTCAATCACAGCATTGCCTGTGTGTTGGCAATGTCATTTACAGACTACAAACCCAGAGCTTATTTTACTGTTCCTTTGCATCTCACCAACTTGGCAAAACTTACTGAGTCCTGCTGTGATCTCCTACCCATTTACCCTTTGCTTTCACCAGTGTCGTACTCACCATGAGGAAATAGCCAATAAGCAGGACAGGCATTAGGAGGATAATGAGCAGATAATCAAAGAAGGTAAATCTTTTCTTCACGGCATAATGCAAGCAGGTTCTCTGCTTCTGAAAATTAAGAAAAGGACTTTTTAATCAATAAAAGATGACACTTCAAATTGCATATTTTTGGATTACCATATCAAAACTTTACTTGGTGCGTTTTCTTCTTGTGGTCCCCACGGCACCTCTTTCTGTGGAGTATGTCTAATTAATAAACCCAAATTTCCATTGACCAGGGCACTGAACCCAGAAAAGTCTAAAGAAAAAGTTGGCACAGAAAGACGACAGGTGAAATGTACATTTTACAAATCATCAAAAGATGGATTCTCAAACTCACCTTAGTTTGGGGGAAAAATACATTGGGATAAAATCAGAGGACTGAATTCAGTATGAAAAGCTATAGTTACTCTTTAATCATCTACGGTCCATAATTATTCATTTTGTAGTTTGTTTATGGGAAAATTTAACCACATGACAATTTTTCCATGTTCCTACATGCACACAGGCAGTGCCGGAAGAATGGAAATGACTCAATTTAATTCTTTAAATATGTGAATTATTTATCAGGTGATAGAATTAACGCTTTTAGGAATTGTGGGGCTTATAAAGCCTCAGGGCCTCATAATCAAACAGGAGTAGACAGGAAGTTGCACAAATAAGTATGATACAAAAGAGGCCACGGTGAGTGGAATACCAGCCAAATCAACGAGGGAAGGGGGAGAGTCAGAGAGAACAGAGAACATTTCCACTGTTCTTAAATAAGAGTTTTTTTGTTTTTCTAATACCAAGGTATATATGCTCTCTGTAAAAATTCTGTAAACCGACAAGAGTATAATGATAGAATTTAAAATCACCCACATCAAACAACCCAGGGTTAATTATTGCTATTTTGCTTATTTTCATCCAGTCTTTTAAAATGCATATATGTGGAATTTTAAAATATAGGGTCATACTACACATGCAAAATCATATCTGCTTTTTTAAGTAAATGTTTAGAATATGTGCATTTTCTGATGCCATTTAATATTTTTAAATACGTAACTAATGGCTGCATGGCTTATCATTGAATGGAATTATTCTGATTTATTTAGCCACACTCTACCTGTTGAACATTTCAAATTTTTAACTTTTCATTTTCATAAATAACACTGCTTGAACATCCTCATTCACAAAGCTTTGTCAACATTTCTAAATTTGTCCTTAGCATCAGTTTTGAAAATTATAATTCCTGGCATAAAAAGCATTAATGCTTTCCCTATTGTGATGCTAATTTGTCCAGTAAAATAATAATGATTCAGACTTCCTTCCTGTGAAGGCCTGGTGGGGAGGCAGGGAGAAGGAGAGTGTAGCTTGTGTGTTTAGCATGCAAGAGGTTCTGGGTTTAATCCCTAGTTCCTAAGTCCCTTCATTTAAATAAATAAATATCTAATTACCCCCCCAAAATATAAATAATTTTTTTAAAATAATAAAATAAAATAAATTTCCTTCCTGATCAACACTTGATTTTCTGTTTTAATCCTGGTCAATTTGACAGACCAAAAAACAGACAAACAAACAAAATAAAACAAAGGTACCTTTATATTTTAATTTAATTTGGTTTCCATGAAATCCATCCTCTATTTGGCACATGCATCTGTACCAGTAATGGAGCTTTCTGTTTGTTTTTAAGGTCTTGATTTCTTTAGTGCTTTGGAAGATGACTCATAGATTTAAGAAATGACAAGGTACGGTTCAAGTTATTAACATGCAAAAATTAGTATTTGGGAAAAATGGAGAAGACTAAACATTTTAAAACCTTTAAAACTATTTTAAAAATAGAAAATCACAAATCCAATGCTGCTTTTGATAAAATCTCTACTCAAGTATCCGCTAAAGTCCTGTCCTTATTTCCATGAACAGGCTGGCTCAGATTATCTGCAAAACGGAGACAAGAGTGCCTCGTCAACCCCATCCCTGTGTTCATAGACGTCTCCCTCCCTCAGCTTCCTAGTGCCCAGTCTCCAGAGAGGGTGTGAATGCAGAGACCTCTGTTTTTGTCACCCCCTCCCACCACAGCACCACCCACCTGGCTCCTCAGCTGTGTGCTGGGGCCATCATGTCCCGCCACTAAGCTGCACATCGGTTAGAGTCAGCACTGCCATGACTTGCTTTTAAATCCCACTACACAAGAAATAGGAAGCACAAACAAGAAAGATCAGAAGTGATCCATTTTCCGATGATACATTATTACTCCAACTGAGCTGCTCTCTAAGCTGACCTGGAAGGGGCAAGTGGGACCTACAGGCTGTCTTTCCTCATTGAATGTACTTGAGTGCGTACAGGGTGTTCATAACCATCACAAAAAGTGACTTTTTATATTTGCTCAGTGTACTTCGGATGTTGCCTTTACTGTGATACAGACTCTGGATTTCTGAGCAGGTTCTGAATGGACATTCTCAGCAGTACACACGTGTCTCACTCTTCCTTAATCCTCAAGACCCCAAGTCAGCTAATAATGCATCTTTAAGTATATTCTTTATGCCTTTCTGTCTGGCTTCATGAGCATATTTGTTCCTGGCAAATTACTCACTGAAATGCTTTCATTCTGTAAGCAAATTGTAGGATTTTCTGGAGATCAGAACATTGACATAGTAGGTAAAAATCTAACTAATGAAATAACATCCCCGGGTCAATACTTTTTTCCCAGGAAATCTTTCCCCTTACTTCTGTAACAGTGAGGAAGAGAAGCAGGAGGAGAGGAGGGGCAAGGAAAAGCACGGGGAGGAGGAGGAGGGAAAAAAGGAAGAAGCTCTATCCAGACAATTGAGTGAACCGTTCCTTTTTTAAAATTTTTTTCAGAAATACAAGGACATAACTAACAACAAAACCCACAAAATATGCCTGCTCATTGAACTATGTTTTATTTTGCTTCTTAAACTGATAATATGGCCTCAATATATACCAGTCTCTCTAAAGTAAGGCAAAAAAAAAAAGGTATTAGGAGCTGCAAACAATAAGAAAATTAAAAAGAATGAAATAATGCCATTTGCAGCAACATGGATGGATCTAGAGATCATCATACTCAGTGCAGTCAGTCAGACAAGACAAATATATGATATCACTTGTATGTGGAAACTAAAAAATGATACAAATGAACTTATTTACATAACAGAAGGAGACTCAGATATAGAAAACAAACTTATGGTCACCAAAGGGGGAAGAGGGGAGGGATAAATTAGGAGTTTAGATACACACTACTATATATAAAATAAACAACAAGGACTTACTATATAGCACAGGGAACTATGTTCATTACCTTGTAATAAAAAAGAATATATATATATATATATATATATACACATATACATGTATGACTGAATCACTATGCTGTACACTAGAAACACAGCATTGTAAATCAACTATACCTCAATGAAAAAGAAAAAAAAAGAGAAAAAGACATTTGCTGCCTCCATTGCTGAGAGGAGAAAGAAGTAGCCCGGTCACGGCCTCACCTGGTTTTTGAGATTCACATCAGCATTTCTTCTTAGGAGGAAGGAAACAATTCTCAGGTGCCCCCGCCTGCAAGCACAGATCAGGGGGGTGTCTCCGTTAAAGCCATCTTGAACGTTGATATAGTTGCTGTCTTCCTTCATCCACCGCCACACTTGACCCAAGTCATTCTGATAGGCCGCCTGGCAGATGGGCTACAGAGAGGAAAAGAAAAGCAGGTTTTGTTAAACCACACTAAGAAAAGAAAAATCATCCAATACCTTATAATTCAGTGTTTCCAATTTGTAATATACTGCTTTGTAGATGAGCCATGGGATCTCAATTATGTCTAGCCTTAAGTCTAGAGCAAGCAATAGTCCCCCAGGAACCTCTTACAATCTCCTAAGTTGCTTGGTAGACAAAAAAGTTCATGGAATGGACAAATGAGTGAATAGATGGATGCAATGTTGTAGATTCGACTCAGTAAGGGAATTGTGCATTGGGTTCACAGATAGATGATGCCTGTCAGAAAAGCAGGTTTTTACTCAAGATAAAACCAGCATATCAGAGTTTAGGGCAATACTAGGAGACGGGACAAAGATGTGTGGCCCCTTGTTCAAGGAACTCTGTACAGTACACTCTGCACCTATTTCAGACAAATAACGTAACAGGTAATTAACTGCAATTAGATGCTTTATTTTATTTTAGAAGGCATTATAAGGAGCTTCTCAAAGCACAATGGGAGTTTAACAGCAAGACCTGAGCAGACCTCATCTTGCCTGCTTTAACCTCTCTGCTCTCCCACTGGACTTCTCTCCTTTTTTCAATATCTCGTAGTTACTTTCTTCCATCTGGGCCTCAGCCCTTACTGCTCCCTCTACAAAAACAAAACAAAACAAACAAAACAAAACACTCTTTCACCTCTCTCTTCACCTAGCTAACTGCTAACTCATCCTTCGTATCATAACTTAATTTTCATTTTATCTGAGTCTTTCCTGACTCCAGCATTCCTTCAGAGCAACTGGTGCAACTATAATTCTTTTCTTAATTAATTATAATTGTGTGTTTCAGGGTAGTGTGAATCAGGAGGAGCTGAGACCACAGTGAGTGAGGGAAGGCACTAAAGTTCAGGCTATAAATTCCATGTGGATAAAGACCACCTCATTCCTTTCACCACCATATTCCCAGCTTATAACTCAGCACTGGGCACATAATGGGCAAACACTAAATATTTTCAGATTTATTTTAATTAGACAGTGTAAAAAAAGTGCTTACAATGCCTGTCATATGAATGATGCTCAACTTATGGAAGCTTTATTTCTGCTTATTAAGTATTAACTTAATTAATTAGCAATATTTGCCAGGAGATAAAGTAGTAGTGGTCAGAGAGGTTGTAGGAGAAACCAGAAAAAAGATATAGCCCAAATGCAAAGGAGGAAATTTTTTTAAAACTTAGAAAGTTAAATTAAATTGTGATGTCTGATTTTTAATTAGACATCACATACAAATGATTTGTTGCATGAGCCATACAAGCCACTGAAAGGATTCCATGCTGTTATAAACTCAGTCTCCACCAGGGAGCAGCTCAGGGTCATAAAAGCACTGACGTCAGACAAGTCGGCACCGGCAGAGGGAAAAAACAGTCCATTATATTACATAGATTTAGCTGTGTGAAAAAAACTATTTCAGTTTTTTTTAATTTTGTTTTTCATTGAAGTGCAGGTGATTTACATGTTAGTTTCAGGTTTAAAGCAAAATGATTCAGTTATGCGTATACACACACATGTTTTCAGATTCTTTCCTATGATATATTATTACAAGATACTGAATATCGTTCCCTGTGCTACACAGTAGGTCCCTGTTGTTATATATTTTATATATAATAATGTGTATCTGTTAATCCCAAACTCCTAATTTATCCCTCCTTGCCTTTTCCCCTTCAGTAACCAGAGTTTGTTTTCTATGTCCAATACTGCTGGGTTGTTTTTTTTTTTGGCCCTTAATTTCAGCATCCACCAGTGAAAATTTGCCACTGATCACTACAGCTTACAGACTAGCACTTGGGAACTGACGGTCTGCTGTGCAGAACTGAAAACAGGTGGCTATAGTGTTAATTTTTCTGCTAAAAAGCAAAGTATCTTGCTGACTCAGACATCATATACAAACTGTTCATTTTTCTTTTCTTAAAATTTTAAATTACAACATTAAAAAAAAACTGGAATTTGTCATGTAGTAATCTGGTTTTCCAGCTTCTCTTAAAAAAATTGAAAGACTTGACAACGCTGGGCCCACATGCCCACAGGACATCACGGAAAGCTCCTGCTTGGGCTGCTCGAAGTCTTTACTGAGAGTTAACTAAAAAGAGGAAAGGAAAAGGTGGACAGTTTTCCTGCAAGAGTCCAAAGTGCCTGGGAGTGTTTTCTCAATCCCAGGTCCAGCCAAGGCTCTGCACATCGGGAGGCAAAGTGGTGACATCAAGTGGTTGTAAGTACAGGAGCTGGAAGCAAACTTCCTGGGTTCCAATCTCAACTTCACCATGAGGCAGTTATGTTATTTGGATATGCTGTTTAAACAATTTGTGCTCAGTGTCTTTCTCCATTTAAGATGCACATCCTCTTCATGAGGTTACAGAAAGGATTAAACGTGACTATGTAGATGAAGCACCCAGCTCGAGAACGACTCATAGTTTACCGATTCATGTAAGCTACCCTTACAGTTACTTATTAAAAGAAAAAAAAAAGGAAGCCACTGAAGACTGGCAGACGGGGGTTATGAAAGAATAAATAATTACTGAAAGAGACTCACAGACATAGAAAACAAACTTACAGTTACCAGGGGGAAAGGAAGTGGGAAGGGATAAACTCGGAGTTCGAGATGTGCAAATATTAATTACTATACATATAATAGATTAAAAAAACAAATTTCTTCTGTATAGCACAGGGAACTATATTCAATACCTTGTAATAACCTATAATGAAAAAGAGTATGAAAACAAAAATATGTATGTATATGTCTGAGCGGGACATTCTGCTGTACACCAGAAATGGACATGTTGTATCTGACTAGACTTCAATTTAAAACAATAAACAAATAATTACTGAAAGAGAATGAATGATAGGATAGAGAACAAATGTGGAAGTATTACCTTGCCAAACAAAATGACAATGTGGTTCTAAGGCCAAAGCAAGGGAGGAAAGATAACTATTTAGGATAGGGAGAATTTTACATTAGCTGGATTTTTTTGCCAGAAAGCCTGAGATTTGATCTTCATCCTCTATGCTGATATGTATTTATCATAAGTAAACTGATAAGCATAGGTAACTCAATAAACAGTAATTATATTTAAATATAATGGGAATGTGCTAATGATGTAGAGGAGCAAAACTTGCCACCCAAAAATGTGTCTCTTTAGCATGAGGATTGATTTAGCCTGATTATTTTTAAGAAACTGAAGACTCAGAGAGTCTTTCTTTTTACCTCCCCCTTAGCTGCCTAAAGAATTGAGATAAAAGGGTCTTTTCTGGAACAGAGCTATCACCAGAGATGGCCGCAAAGAACAGAGAGGAAACTCGGCAGAGCCTCGAGATCAGAGTCCACTCTGTGTCCCATTGTCTCTGCATGGCCCAGCAAACATTTAATTACCAAATATTTGCTTTTCCATCTTTATATGAAATGTCTTCCTCCCCTTTGAAGTCCCAAACCACTACCCCCAACATCCTCTTTGTCTTTAGCTGAAGATGGTATTTAAGGCGAGGGCTTCAGCCATGTTGTCAGGTTCCTCCATTTTCCTGGGTCTCTTCTGTGTGTATATGGTACTAAATTTTTGTTTGATTTTCTCTGGTTAATCTGCCTCATGTCAGTTTAATTCATAGACCAGCTAGAAGAAACTGGAAGGGTAGAGGGAAATTCTTCTTCCCCAGCAATGACATAGGAGACTGGATTGAGACAAAGGTGGAAGAGGCTCTTGAGCCTGGTGGGGAAGGTCTGGGAGAGTTACAATGAAAAGTGCCACAGGAGACGAACAAAAATATGAAACTACTTAAAGCATCAGGTGGAGGAAACACTATAAGGCGCTGCTGGCTGAGACTGCAATAGGAGTTCGTGATGTTCTTCAGCAAACCTACAGTCAAGGGTGGAGACAGTGTAGGGGACAAAGAGCAAAGATTAGGAAACACGTGTCAGGCAAGGGGTGTGAAAGGAGAGTAGTTCACCGTGGGATTGGGATTGACTGGGCAACGTATGTAAACCAAGTGGAGACTAAAGGACTGGATGAAAAAAGAGAGAGAAGCAGACAGAAACATGAAGAAGGATCAGTGCTTGTGATCCAGTGGGAAATGCGACTGGCTAAGAAGTTATGATAGGAGCTAGAGGTAGCAAATTCGAAATGTCATGGTAAAACTTTGTCCAGGATGAGAAGTCGTGAGTGGTCTTGTTGGGTGGCTGATTTGAACTAAAGACAGAGGCCAACAGAAGAGACTAAAGTCTTGTGGATACTGAGGTCACCAAGGATGACCTCAGGGAACAGAAAGAAAGGGGAAGCTGTGCTTCAGTAGTCAAGAAAGGTCGAAGTGATGCTGGAGGATACTGGGCGGCAGTGAGAAGATAAAGGGACATAAGACTTCAAAGAAGAAACAGTCATGGGCATAAAGCAACAATGGTGAACAAGGAAGAAAATAGACTGAAGTGGAGACTAACATGAGACGTCAGTGAAGACGCAGAGGAAGACGGCGAGGAGATTGAAGAGAAGGAATGTTCAACAACAGCACACACAAATCCACATGGATTAAACTGTGAATGATGCTCCCTAGGGCTGTGCTCTGCACAATCTGAAAAACTAAGGCACAAGATCAATCGAGCACACAGGTGCACTCTTCTCTCCAATCTCATCTATTAGCTTCGTCTTTGCTCGTGACAGTCTAGCTCTTTCTGGGGCGTGCCATGTTCATTTCTTTTTTTAAAATTTTTTTTTATTAAAGTATAGTCAGTTTACAGTGTTGTGTTGATTCCTGGTGTACAGCATAGTGTTTCAGTCATACAGATACATACACACATATATTCCTTTTCATATTCTTTTTCATTGTAAATTACTACAAGAAATTGAGTATAGTTCCCTGTGCTATACAGTAGGTCCTTGTTGTTTATTTTATATATAGTAGTTAGTATCTGCAAATCTCTAACTCCCAGTTTATCCATTCCCATTCCCTTCCCACCGTGG